AGGTAGAGAGTAAGAGAAGGCCACCTGCCCCTCTGTTGCACTCTCAGAACAATTTGTGCCTGGCATCTCATACAGTGGCAAGAGGTGCTAGTGGAAGGGAAACCAGATTGAGTTTTCTCTTCAGCTTTGCTCCCTTGAAGCAGGTTTCTTTTCCCACTTGCAAAATGTCCATAATGTCAAGTATTTTAACTTCTGAGCAAAACTGAGATAAATGGCATTGTCAAAGCCCATCAAAAACTGGCTGTTAAAGGGAGATCAAAGTCAAGTTCTATGGTGAGATTAGCAAGCAATTCCAGGAATCTCATTCTATTGAACAGTACCTACTGGAGGGTATATTTTTTGCGACTGGGAGACAATTATTTGCAGCAGTCACAGAGACAGTGTAACAAAATCAAGGTAAATTAAAACACAGTTTTGCTGCCGTGAGTGATTTTTCAAAGTTATGAAATTAAAGGAATTTGGGGCAGGATTTTTTTTTAAAAAGGATTCTTTTGTTTTTTGGTTGAGTTTGAGAGAGGTCATTACTGTTAGTAATGTTCCTCTTCATCTTTGTTGAGTGAGTCATTGGATTTGTGGACTGAAAAGCACTCTTTGCTCTTTCTCAAGCAAAAGTAACCTTCACCTGTTGTATTTAGTATATTTTTGACTTCCAAGTGGCACGATTTCTTGTATTGTTGATAAGTAAAAGCATGAAGTTAGTGTTTGATAATATGTTATACATTATCAAAGTACCATAAAGACGGGGGTATTTTAACAAAACAGTGGTGTACCAAGAAAAGTTCTATTCTAGCTGTAATGACTATTTTTCTGATATCTAGTTTAAGTTAAAAATGGTGCATGGAATCTGGATAATTTAAATAGTTTTTAGGTATTGACTTTGCTGTAATCTGAGTGTACAAGATGTTATTTTTAACTGTAGTTAAGAAATTTGTTGGACCAATATGAAAAGACTGAGAAACTGTTGAGCCTAAGAGCCCAGTAAAATTTTTTTTTTTTTTTGTACAGGCTTATTTATATATTCTTAAACTAGTTTTACAGTAAATGACCCATGAATAGAGGTAACTGTCTTCAACAGTGGGTTGTCGAGTACCAGATTTTCAAGTCCCTGTAAAATAGGACCTCTGAAGTAGTATATTCTTACTGCAATGAACTGGGATTTATAGATGATACTTCCAATAATACCAGCATAAACTTTGCAATCTACTCAGAGCACAAAGCCTTAATATTGAAGTCAAAGTGAAGCCTGTGACTGGCTTTGGAAGGGATATAAAGTTTTGAGGAGTATATTTTCCTCATTCTGAAGGGATTTGCAGGTGTAAACACCACAGAGAATGCATATCCCCTGCTTTCTACTGGAAAAAACCAAAATTACTAGATGCTTCAGGGAAACCTCTGGTTTCCAAAAGCACTCATATGCTTCAATTCATCATGCTGAAATTAGTTATGTGTAAAAAACTGGTTTCCTGTGAGCATAAAATTTGTTAGGATATATATTGTTGCAGTTAAAGCCAGCAAAAGTTCTTTAGTAGTGGAAAAACTGATACATGTGAATATTTTTCAGTGCCTGGATCCACTGACTTCATTCTGGGGCCATACTAAATATGCATTTCTGCAGGCAGATTCTGCTTCAATATATCTGTTTCTTCTGGACGTCCTTGGTTGGTGCATGCTGCTCACAGTAAAGCCTTCTGCTTAAGTGCTCATCAGTCCGGGCATACTGCAGCAAGAAGACTTCAGGAGCATGACTGGAGTGTGCTGTAAGAGGTGTGCTAGAAGTGTGCTATAAGTGTGCACCCTTTAAATATTCCCTCTTTCTCCTTGTTCAGTAAATCCATGGTTGTCTTCTCACAGGCAGGATGCAGAAAGAGCACTGATGGTAGGAAAAGGAGTCTTAACTTTCCTTCAGTTCATACTTCCGTGACAGACATACTTCCCCTCTGCAGCCACTCAACTCTGCTGCAGCTTCTGCTCACACTGATCATCACTTACTTGTTCTACATTCTTGTGTCTCTAAGCTCCTTCTGAGCACTGTGCTTCTGAGGAGAGGATGAGAGTTGAGACTGTTGAGCAGACTCAGGGCATATCTCATCAATGTAAAACTGAAGAAGGGTGCAAGGTGGATAGACTTTTTCAGTGGTGCACAGTGACAGGTCCAGAGGCAATGGACATGAAAGAAGCTGTAAAATGGGAGATCCTCTCTGAACATCATCAGGGAACTGTAAGGGTGACTGAGCACTGGAATGAACAGGTAGTCCAGAGCTGTCATCTTCATACTTGGAGATACTAAAAAGTACATCCAGATACACCCATCCCAAGCAACCAGCCACACACCCTTCTTGGGCGTGTGCGGGATTTGACCAGATGACCCTTTCAAACTCAACCATCCTTTGGTTCTAGGACTTTTTGAGTCAGCTGTCAGGTAAAGCATTGTTACTCTTCACAGTTTCCTATTGCTTTTCAGCAGTCCACATAGCCCCCCATCCTGCAGCAGCCTTCACTCCTCTCAAGCATTCTGGCACGTTGCACAGAGAGGCTTATCCTCTTTAGTTGTGCTCTTTCACCATAACCCTAAAGTAAACAGCGTGGGGGTTGCTGCTTGAGGGCTGCATTGGCAATGCTTCTCCAGAATTGTGACTTCTATTCTTACAGCTTATTTTCTGGCATCAACTCAAATGTATTCTTAAGCAAGGGAAATCCATGTGAGAATTGGCAGATTCCTGCAATGCTGCCTGAAACCAATAGCAAAGTTGTCACTGAATTCAATGGGAGCAAGGCAGAAACTGAAATACTGGGATGTTAAGGAAACCTGACCGACTGACTAACAAAATAACTTATCTGATAATTGATATCAATTCAGAAGAAGGGACTGTGAATAGCTAGCAACACAGTTTAGGGTATGACATAATATTTTCACCAAGCTCAGTCTGCAAAGTCAAAATATGGTTATGTTCCCATCCTTTATTAAAAATCTAAATGCCATTGATACCTGGGTAAAGTCTCACGAAAAACATCTCAAACTAGATAGTCACCAAATCTTAGAAGTCTTTTGGGTAACATCGCTTACCCAAAAACAATAGGTTTTGGATGTATCCTGTAAGTATATGTGTTCTGAGTGGCATTCCTGAGCTCCTGGCTCTCTTCCAAATCTCAGTTGTACTGTAGGGCAGTCAGCTCAAATCCCCAGTTTAAGTTTCCCAACCATTAATAGAAAGGAAGAGAGACTTGAAAGTATTGTGATTAATGCATAAAACTGGCTGCTCCTGTTATTAAGTGAGGTTTTAGGACACATTCATCTGCAACTAAGTGCATTATGCTCTGGGAGGCAGTGAGGTCTCATGCAGAACTGCAGTCTAAGCAGCAAAAAAGGCTGCGTGGTTGAGTGATGAAGCACAGTCTCCTTCATTTACTTATACTGAGCCTATCTCCAAGGTTGTCCTCAAAGATAGCCACCAGCAGAGCACTGTGGCAGTGGGCAAACATGCAAATATGTAGCATGTACAGGATGTAAACTACAACTTGACTTGTGAACAGTGACAACTAGTGGGGAAGACAGTTACCTAAAAAATTGTGATTACCAGGGCCAACATGGACTCACTGTGGTAACTGGAAAACTGAAAATACTTTGTCAAACAAATTGAAGACCTCAGTCCGGTTTCTTGATGGACTAGTGCCTGTCTATGTTGCCATAATTGCAATGATCCATGCACTGCATCAAGACAGGCAGAGGCTAAGGCTCAAAGTCTTTCTGAACTGAGGCATTTTAGCTGTGAAATCATCACTTATAAGTAAACTGAAATCTAATTCATGAAAGTGCTTCAAAAGCATTAAGAACCAAAAATAACATATTCATTTTGTTGTACAACATCCCAATTCTTGCACCAGCCATGCTTCATGTTTCTAGTATTTTTACATCATTCACTAAAACTAGGTGGAGAAAGAGTGGTCAAACATCAGGTAATATTCCAAGAGGAAGAAAAGGTATATACACAAGTGTTCCTTGATGGCTGGTTTTCAGATAAATGCTTTATTAGGCAGGAAGCATACTGCTTGGATGACATTACCAATTCTTGAAAAATTTATTTGCCATTTGAAACAGAGGGATTTAAACTAAAATCTTGCAAAGACTTAAAACCTCCATGTTTAGCTTTATACCTCCTACATAGTTTCACTGTGGTCAATGAAACTATTCACTGTGGAAAGCTAAGAAGGTGTGTAAATCTCTGTAGCATTAAACATTTTTCTTGATTATCTCACCAGGGACTGGAAACAGGGATTGGCAGCTATCAGACACCAAGGGTAAAATGGCAACTTGTGTCACTGAATATTGACTTAATTGAAAAGCAGCATTAAGAATTGTGAAACAATTCTAGTCTTTTTTCCCTAACTTGCAGTGGATGCTATGTGGCTCTAAACTGCTTCCTTGAGTACCCCCAAACAACTGAGATTTGCTCACCCAAGAGTAGGGTGCATTTTCACTGTCAAAACAAGTCTTTGTAACTTTTTTTTTTAAGTATTTAGCACAACTGGAGTTGCTGGGGACATATGTGTGTATGTATATGTGCGTAATGTCCCTACGGGAGGCTTGAAAACAGACTCTCTGCCTAGGTCATGAGGGGGCTGCACCAGCAATAATCATTCTTCTCACCCTTCTTCTCATTCTTCTCCTCATCCTTCACATCCTTCTCCTCATCCTCCTCCGCCTCCCCCCACCCCAGGTGAACACAGCTCGGTGGTCGCCGGCGCTCCGTAAGACGCTGCCGAAGAGGGGAAGGGGCTTAGCAGGTCTGGGGACCCCGGAGGCAGCGCGGGGAGCGGGCGGGGTGGCGCCGCAGGGGCGGGAGTGGCCGGGGCAGCGCCAGCGGCGGGGGGAGGCGCCGGTGCTGGAGGCGCGGGGTGCGCGGCGCAGGGGCGGCGGCCCCGCAGCCCGGGCGGGCGGCAGGTGGGAGCGGAGCGGAGCGGAGCGGCGGTGCAGCGGGGCGGGGTGGCTGGGAAGGGAAGGGATGGGCTGCGCACCCAGCATTCACGTCTCGCATAGCGGTGTGATATACTGCCGGGACTCGGAGGAGTCCAACTCCCCCCACCAGACCACCACGATCTCGCAGGGCACCACCACCCTGCACGGCCTCTTCGTTAAGACAGACGCGGCCGACTCCATCCCCTCCGTCCTCGCCTACCAGAGCCGGCAGCCGCCGCCCTCCGCCGGCCCCCGCCGCAAGGAGCGCAGGGAGTCCGGCGGCGCCTCCGCCCGGTCCAGGACGCCCCGCTGCTGCAGCGTCGAGGCGGAGACCCAGACCAGCAGCTCCAGCGCCAAGGTAAGGTCGCCGCTCCGGAGGGATCTCCGGCGGTCCCGGTGCGGGTCCCCGCCGGCCGCGGCAGAGGGAGGACGGTGCGCGGAGCCAGCGCCTCCCCCGCCGGAGGATGCTCGGCGGGCGGGATGCAGCTGGCAGGAGCGGTGCCCTGGTGCCCACTGACTCACCGCAGCTGCGGCGGCCGGGCCGGGCCGGGCTGGCACTGCTGCGGGGGGGCCGCCTCGCCTGGAGCTCGCCGGGGGGAGCAGCAGCCGCCGGGCCCCTCGGGCTCTCTCCGCCTTTCTCCGCCTCGAAGCACAGCCTTGGTGCGGCTCCGGGGCGCCCTGCGCTGGGATCGGCCACGCACACCCCAGCAAGCGGGGAAAGGCTTGTTTTGAGCTTTGTGGCTGATGGCAGAGAGTACTTGGTGCTAGCTTTATTTACCTCATCCCTTTTTCTTCCCGCCGTATCTGTTAAAATGAACTGTTGCTTCTAGGCGTGGGTGTTCGGCTGAGAACCGAACCACTATGATCTGCATACGTACGCTGATACACCTTGCTGCTGTAGAGCTGTGGAGATGCTCCTGGAGGAGCGGGCGGGGGCTGTGTGTGTACGGTACCTGGAAGACTTGGTCCCCCTCTCAGTGGCTAAGGCAGGCACTGCTGCAACCTGCCTGTCAACGTCTTCGCTTAAGTTTAGCACTTCCAAAGAGATCATTGCGCTGGATTTTTTTTTTTTTCCATGAGGTTTGTTTGGTTTGTTGGGTTGTTTGGTTTTTTTTTTTTTTTTAATATCAGAGTAACTTCCCTGGAAGCCTTTTAGAAATTAAAATTTGTTTTGTTGCCTCCTTCCAAAGTTTATAAATTAAAAAAAAAAACCAAAAACACACACACACACACACACACACACACACAAAAAAAACCAAACAAAAAAAACCAAAAAAACCCCCAACAAAAACCAAAAAACAAAACTGGTATCATGATCTTAGCTGCATCTTAGGTTACTTTTCTGTTGTACTAAGAAAGCAGGATATCATGTCACAAAGCAATCCTAGTATTTTGTTAGAATATCAGTAAGAAATTCCAAAGTTATAAAATATTCCTTAATTATTTAAAAATTCAGAAGCAGTAGGAAAACTTAAGGAAAACATAAGTGGGAGAAATCACAGATAAAACCCCAAAACCCCCATGGCCCATTGTCAGTTTGTTAGTTCAAATGCTGGGTAAATTGTAGAATTGTCTGCAGTCACATTTACTGTTTTACTCATTCAGATCAGGAGCATGCATCATCAACAACTGGGACAAAATTCAAGCATTACTGGAGTAAAACAATTCTTGTATTTCTTGGATTTATAGATTTTTTTTTTTACTAGTCAGAGTGCAATACTTAAGACAAAATATTATTTTTTTTAATATGATTTCTTTTTTCTCCTGTTAAGAGGAGAGCAAAATCAAAACACTTTTACAATTAAGATGAGAATTTAAAAGAAAATAGGAAGAATTGGGAAAAAAAGTTTTTTAGAGTCATAACTTGGTTCTCAATAATTGTTCACTATATATTATTACATTAGGTGCTGTTACAAACAAATATATTTCCCAGCTTTCTAGTTATTTAAACTGCATGTATTTCAGATGGTTTTGACCTTTCTGATTGGTATTGTAATGTTATGGGTTCAACAAGGCCCAGTGCTGGGTCCTGCCCTTGGGTCACAGCAACCCCAGGCAGTGCCACAGGCTGGGGCAGAGTGGCTGGAAAGGCCCTGGGGGTGCTGGTGGCAGCAGCTGAACATGAGCCAGCAGTGCCCAGGTGGCCAAGAAGGGCAATGGCATCCTGGCCTGTGCCAGCAATGGTGTGGCCAGCAGGAGCAGGGCAGGGATTGACCTCCTGTACTCAGAAAAGGTGAAGCCACACCTCAAATCCTGTGTCCAGTTCTGGGCTCTTCACTACAAGGCATTGAGGTGCTGGAGTGAGTCCAGAGAAGGGAAACAGAGCTGTGGAAAGGTCTGGAGCACAAGTCCTGTGAAGAACAGCTGAGGGAGCTGGGGGTGAGAGAGAAGCCTGAAGAAAAGAAAGCTCAGGGGGGACCTTCCCACTCTCTGCAACTGAAAGGAGTGTGCAGCCAGGTGGGGGTTGGTTTCTTCTTCCAGACAACAAGAGACAGAATGAGAGGAAACAGCCTCAAACTGCTCCAGGGAAGGTTCAGGTGGTACATCAAGAAGAATTTCTTCACACAAAGGATTGTCAAGCATTGGGAGTGACTGGCAGGAAAGTGATAAAGTCATCATCCCTGGAATTGTTCAAGAAATGACTGCATGCAGCACTCTGTGCCGTGGTGATACAGTGGTGATTGGTCAAAGATTGGATTTGAATTTGGATGTCTTTTCACAGAATTAACTAGGTTGGAAAAGACTTTTGAGATCATCAAGCCCAGCCTATGACTTAACATCACCTTGTCAACTAGCCCATGGCACTAAGTGCCATATTCAGTCTTTTCCAATCTAAATGATTCTGTGGTTCAGAATTGTGATTATTTTTGATAGCTTCACTTCTTTTTACAAATTATGAGTTTGTTAGGTGTCTGGGGTTTTTGAAGTTATGTAACAATTATTTCAATTATTTAGTAGAAATATTTTCATTCTTAAAAGAATTAGGATCTGTAATTTTTTTTTTTTTTTTTTTTAGTTGAGTTAGAGCTGCCATTCTTACTGCCAGTCTCCTGGCCTGATTTTGTACATCATACTGAAGTATTGACTACAACAGGATTGGGTTATTACAGAACTATCATAAAGGCAAAATAGTATACTGTACTTGACAGATTATAAGAAGTGGAAAAGTGTGGAAACATGTTTCTGCAGTAGTACATGATAACAATATTTATTTCCATAAAAGCTCAAAAGTGAAGAAATATATCGTTTATTTTGGCATGGAAAGAGTGTCCAGAAATACCACTTGGTTTTTGCTGCTGTAGTGTTTGGTTGCATGTATTAGCAATATTGGATATTCCATACTATATGGCATCACATTTGGGGAAAGAAGGAGGAAGGCATGGGGGACATTTGGAGTGATGGTGTTTGTCCTCCCAAGTAGCCAGTGCACATGATGGGCCCTGCTCTCCTGGGGATGGCTTGACACCTGTCTACCCATGGGAAGTGGTGACTTAATTTCTTGTTTTGCTTTGCTCATGTGTGCACCTTTTACTTTACTTATTAAAGTGTCAAATTCATGAGTTATTTCAGTTTCACTCCTCAGATTCCTTCCCCATCCTCTGAGTGATTGAGTGAATGAGCAGCTGCCTGGGGCTTAGTTGCCCTCTGGGGTTAAACCACCACAAAATCTCATCTAAGTGAATTAGAGGACAAAACCAATATACTGGCTGTTAGCACTATTATATAGTAAAATATATATATATCTCTGTTCTGTAACTGCTCAAAACACTCAAACCATGTGTCTTGGTTTCAAAAGACACTATATTGCTTGGTGTGTCTTCATTTTGTGTTCTAAACTGCACTTTAGTTGTTTTCACAATCAAGTATTGCGCTTTACATTTGATCCTGCTTTTATACAATGTTTTAAAACTCATCCACACTATAGTATGAAACGAGCCTTAAAATAAATCAACCTGTAGTAATATCAACCCTATTCAATTCAAATAAAAAATAAAAGCCAACCAAAGAAAAAATGATCCAATGTCACTTAAAATATATGGCTTATCTAAACCTTACTTTCAAAGTATTTGATCTGTATTCATTTGGTGTGAGGTCAGTGTTACAAAAGATAATTTATTGTTTTTTTCTTTTCTTCTTCTTTCCTTAATGAAAAGTTATGAATTGTTCAGAGCATTGAGATGTGTTGGTCCCATCCCACTGGCACTGTTTGTGAGTAACCAGTCAGCAGTTTTGGTGGGTAGGTGTGTTTCTTTTGATCTTGAAAGCCTTGTAAACAGTTATGTACAGGTTGCCTGACAAAGATCTCAAGTGGACTTGTTACAAGTTGATTTGGGATAGGACCCACAGTTTCTGGTGCTCAGCCATACAATCTGTTCTTGAAGTACTTGGGCAGAAGCACTCAATTGAAAAAAACCAGCCATTCCTTCCCCTTGTACCCTCCTTAACAAAGCAAAACAGTATCATGAAAAGAAAGAGTATTAATATCTCAAATGTTCCATCAGCTTTCTATAAAGATACAAGGCATTTAACATCCATCACAGAAGCACAACAATGAGCTGAGAAGATGCTGACTGTATAATGGCTGCTTGACCCATTGCTCAGTTACTGCTGGTTCTGAAGTGCAGCTGTTCTGAAGTACCAGCTGTTTAGCAAGAAGTAAACAGTCTTTTGGACACTTCCTTGGGGATTTGAAAATGTAAATCCCTTATATATGTTTACATCTTTTAATTATGGCCAAGTCTTAAGCAGAAGTTGTGAAAAGTTCTGATTTTCTCGACATCTTGGACTTCAGCATTAACAAAACTTTACAGCAACAGACAAGTTTCAAAGCTCGTGTTGCTAACATATTAGCTAGATGGAAAAAACCCTGCAAACAACTTGCAGACTTCCATTGATTACTTTATCATATTTTTCTTCTTAAAATTACAAGAACAGCAGATGTAATGATTTGGTTCTTCTTATGCTGTCTTCTTTGTAGAAAAGAAAAACTTGTTTATGAGCCTCTCTTGATCAGTCACAATAGCAGTAGAATTTCACCATTTTCAGGCTTTTCTGTAGCAAGAAAAGCTCAGAAATAAGCAAAAATACAGTGGGACAGTATCTCTTACCAGTGCTGGCTGTGTTAAGTTCCAAGGTGGAAGTGTTGGGACATATCCTCTTCAAAATGTCAAGGACCTAGGTTTTTTTGGATTGCCTTGATTTGAAATACAGTTGTCTTTCAAGCAGTACCATGTATAAGAAAAGTCAGGGTACTTCTTGCACTTCTGGTTTTGTTTGAGGTGTACTATGGTTTAACTGGTTAATAGTAAGTTCTGTGGCATGTGGAACACACCAGATGTAGTGTAAACTTGGAAAATA